GTGCTTGCAATTTCCATTGTTGAAAAGCAATATTCGCTATCATTGAGAACTAGGGGACATATAGACTTCCAATCATTGAGAACTAGGGGACATATAGACTTCCAATCATTGAGAACTAGAGGACATAAAGACTTCCAATCATTGAGAACTAGAGGAAATATAGACTTCCAATCATTGAGAACTAGAGGAAATATAGACTTCCAATCATTGAGAACTAGAGGAAATATAGACTTCCAATCATTGAGAACTAGGTGACATATAGACTTCCAATCATTGAGAACTAGAGGACATTTAGACTTCCAATCATTGAAAACTAGAGGACATATAGACTTCCAATCATTGAGAACTTGGGGACACATAGACTTCTTCTTCCATATATTAAGGGCCCACGATCAATTTATTGGTCATTTTGGCTCCTATGCATTTAGAAGCGATAAGCAATGTTTCTGTGCCTGGTGCTGATGAGAGTAGTTCACTGATTGCAAGGGCTACTTTGTGAGGGTATCATGCACTGGGGGTTGGAAGGCCTGAGGCAATAGACGTAAATTCGTCAAATGTTGTCACCCCAATAGGCCAACTTGGAGATTGTAAAAGGACATCGGTTGGTTCCAAAATATATCTACTTAAAAATATATAAAGTCTAAAGTAATATCAAATTAGTAGATGTAACTAGATACGATAATGGAATATTATTTGTCCATGTTTTTTTGAAAGAGTTTTAATAATCACTTGATTCCTTAGCAACGGTCTCAGATAACTCTGAACATATTTCAACGGTCTCAGATAACTCTGAACATATTTCAACGGTCTCAGATAACTCTGAACATATTTCTGACGTGATTGAATACCTTTTATAAGATCTTCTCCTCATATTTATGGTTTCCTTCTATAAGATCTTTTCTTGTTCCTACATGCTCTTTATTTCATTATAACGCTTTTGTTCCGAATACGTCCAAGTAACTACCTCGGTAGTCAATGGAGATACTTCAGAATACTGGATCATTAGTTGTACCTCGTACATAAACTTGGCAAGATAATAATTTATTTACAGCGTGGAAATTGTTTAGCTGCGACACGGCAGAGAAGTTTGACAAACTTATGGCATGTATTGATTACAGGGGAACATTTAATAAACATTAAGGTTTATTGACATACAAAAAAATTAAGCAGGAGTGGGGAACTTTTGGCTCACGTGTCAGGCATGACAAGAAACGGTGGGGAACTTTTGGCTCACGTGTCAACGTGACAAACGGTGGGCAACTTTTGGCTCACGTGTCAGGCGTGACAAGAAACGGTGGGCAACTTTTGGCTCACATGTCAGGCATGACAAGAAATGGTAGGGAACTTTTGGCTCACGTGTCAGGCGTGACAAGAAACGGTGGGAAACTTTTGGCTCACGTGTCAGGCGTGACATGAAACGGTGGGCAACTTTTGGCTCACATGTCAGGCATGACAAGAAACGGTAGGGAACTTTTGGCTCACGTGTCAGGCGTGACGTGAAACGGTGGGCAACTTTTGGCTCACATGTCAGGCATGACAAGAAACGGTAGGGAACTTTTGTCTCACGTGTCAGGCGTGACATGAAACGGTGGGCAACTTTTGGCTCACATGTCAGGCATGACAAAAAAAGGTAGGGAAGTTTTGGCTAACGTGTCAGGCGTGACAAGAAACGGTGGGAAATTTTTGGCTCATGTGTCAGGCGTGACAAGAAACGGTGGGAAACTTTTGGCTCATGTGTCAGGCGTGACAAGAAACGGTGGGCAACTTTTGGCTCGCGTGTCAGGCGTGAAAAGAAACGATGGGGAACTTTGTGGTGTACTATGTATTATATATCCTATTTGTGGTGTACTATGTATTAGATATCCTGTTTGTGGTGCATTATGTATTATATGTGCTATTTGTTGTGCATTATGTATTATATGTGCTATTTGTGATGCATTATGTATTATATGTGCTATTTGTGGTGCATTATGTATTATATGTGCTATTTGTGGTGCGTTATGTATTTTTGCAAAGTATTACCTAAAAGGTGGCCGACCCACGATATCAAATATATAATCCAGAGTGCACATAATAAACATAGTGCACATAATAAACATAGTGCACATAATAAACATAGTGCACATAATAAACATAGTGCACAAATAAACATAGTGCACACAATAAACACAGTGCACATAATAAACATAGTGCACATTATAAAAATAGTGCACATTATAAACATAGTGCACATTATAAACATAGTGCACATTATAAACATAGTGCACATTATAAACATAGTGCACTATTTACCATTAATGCAATAGTTACACATAATGCACTATTTACACATATAGGATGATTACAACGATATTAATGATGACATAAACGTTTGATAAGTCACTTTTAAAAAAATGACATTTAGGAGTGTTAACATCAATAGTTTCATGACATTTAGGACTGTTAACATCAATAGTTTCATGACATTTAGGACTGTTAACATCAATAGTTTCATGACATTTAGGACTGTTAACATCAATAGTTTCATGACATTTAGGACTGTTAACATCAATAGTTTCATGACATTTAGGACTGTTGACATCAATAGTTTCATGACATTTAGGACTGTTAACATCACTAGTTTCATGACATTTAGGACTGTTAACATCAATAGTTTCATGTCAGCTAAATCTCTACTGCACCCAAGATTGCCTGTATCGGCACTGTTGCCGTCCAAGCCCTCTTAGCCGAAACATTCACTTTTTTTGGCATTGCACTTCGGGTTTTCGTCTAGCCTGTGTTTGGTTCTAATAACATGCGAAGCATGACAATGGGATGTCACGTGATGTTTTACTGGATCGCAGCCATCATGTCATCTATGGACTTCTCTTTACGATCTATTTGGCTGAAATACGAACTGACTAGTTCATAACTTCTTACAAAGTATTGAAACTCGGGAGTCTGCAGTAACACGAATGTATGACTTGAATTTTATGTACTTCAAACTATTCCCACCGAGTATGAAACGTGTACATAGTGTGTACATATTGTGTACCGATTAGACAAAGTGTTAGCATAATTAAAATTGTTACGTTGATACTATTAGTAACACTACATTATTTACAGGAAGGCCATTTCAGTCGTCCCGATATGTTTAAATATAGAAATAAGATGGGAAAGAAAGAACTCTTAAAATAGTACAGAACTCTTTGTAGAATATCTGATTTGGAATTTGATTCTTGTTTTAATGTATAGATAGTATGGAACCCTGGCTAAGCGAATATCTTATTGGTATTTGATTGTTTCTCTGACGTATAAATAGTATAGAACCCTTAGTGTGGGAACATCTTATTAATACTTGATCGTTGCCCCTTTGTTCTGAAAGGCTCTCACACCTAGTCGGTGGTGTGTTTCAAGGTAACGCATTGCAGTATGACCTGGAAGTTCATTAGAGCATCATCATTCACGGACATGACCTACATTTAAATCTAGACCAGTGAACGTTGGCCGACCATCACCGCCAATCGTGTCAACAACACATTCATTATAAGATGTCTTGTCGTGGGTTTAAAATAATTTAGTTTACCCTCGTGTAGTTATCGGTTGACACAATGAGTCGTCTCTTTTAGAAACTTAGAATTTGATTTAGCCGGGAGAGGTGCTCCCCCCTCCTCTCCCCTCCTCTCCCACCCCAATCTTGTGATATAGTGAGTGTGGTACTGTTGGTGACATGTAAGGATGGACATGACTGAAACAACATCGAACATCAATGTCATGGTCAACATAAATCATAAGTCAGACATGTTCCTGCAGCATCCGGCGATCATCAGTCTCAAGGTTGAGATGCACCTTTGTAGTAGTCAAGCTTTCAACACTTGGGCCAGCTGTTCAATGTGTCTACAACAAATCATTTGAAGAACAGTTCAAGAAAACTGTAATCCTCCAAATACTCCAATTCACACATCATTCCTGTTGACCAATGGTCGTCAATAGAAAGAAAATGACATAATATTAATTATAAATAAGCATCACATATCTGTCAATAGCAGGAAATTATTATACAAAAAATGTCAAATAAAAAGTAAAAGTTCTTATTCGAACTATGAAACTGCTGTCAAAGATGTGGGAGAATCCACTGCAAGGGGCTGGGAGATTCCACTGCAAGGGGCTGGGAGATTCCATTGCAAGGGGCTGGGAGATTCCATTGCAAGGGGCTGGGAGATTCCACTGCAAGGGGCTGGGAGATTCCACTGCAAGGGGCTGGTGGGAGAGTCCACTGCAAGGGGCTGGTGGGAGAGTCCACTGCAAGCGGCTGGTGGGAGATTCCACTGCAAGGGGCTGGTGGGAGATTCCACTGCAAGGGGCTGGTGGGAGATTCCACTGCAAGGGGCTGGTGGGAGATTCCACTGCAAGGGGCTGGTGGGAGAGTCCACTGCAAGCGGCTGGTGGGAGATTCCACTGCAAGGGGCTGGTGGGAGAGTGCACTGCAAGGGGCTGGTAGGAGATTGCATTGCAAGGGGCTGGGGGGAGAGTCCACTGCAAGCGGCGGGTGGGAGATTCCACTGCAAGGGGCTGGTGGGAGAGTTCACTGCAAGGGGCTGGTGGGAGATTTCACTGCAAGGGGCTGGTGGGAGATTTCACTGCAAGGGGCTGGTGGGAGATTCCACTGCAAGGGGCTGGTGGGAGATTCAACTGCAAGGGGCTGGTGGGAGATTCTACGGAAAGTTGAGAACAACTTTTTTTTTAAATGTACGTGGCCGCCATCTTGCTGTCGACGCCAATTTAAGAAGTCAAGTTTCCTACTCAAGTCCAGGCTACTACTCAAGTCAAGGCTACTACTCAAGTCAAGGCTGCTACTCAAGTCAAGGCTACTACTCAAGTCAAGTCGAACTTTGCCTTTGTCATCTGTGCTTGCGGTGGACGAACAATGTAGTATAATATTTTAACTTTATTTTTCAGTTACCTTTTGTCAATATAATCATAGCAACATTGAAAGAATAACACAATTTTACTGTAACAATCTATGACGTCATAATACTTACCTCTAAATCGTATACGAGTTCGATAATCTCAAACACATTGTGTTTGTCCAGCTCAACATTGCCAGCTTCCTTCAACAAATCGAGCAATTGTTCTTCTTTTGCGTCTGTGAAGATGTACTTCTTGAAGAAGTCCATCCGCTCTGGCTTCATGAGACAGTTGAAGAAGTCTTCACAGTCTTTGAATTCTTGATACACTTGAAACACAAGTCTGGTGTCATTATTTGACCTGACGATTTTAAATTGTTCTCGAAGGATATTCAGATAATTCAGTTTGTCCTCGATCACGATGCAAGCATGTTCGATTTCTTCCCTCTGTTCATGTATTAGTGTCTCAGCCCTCTTTCTGACATCTTCTTCTCGTTGGGCGAGAAGCGAACGGTAGTAGCGAAACTTATATGAAATATCACCTTTGAGATTTCTGTGCGCTCTTTCAAGGTCATTCAGCTCATTTTTGTACGTCTCGATCTTGACTTTCATGGCGTCAGCCACGCTCTGACCGAATCGTTCAAGCGCGTCGAATTTTGGTGCGTAATTTTCAAAAGCTTCTGAAATCTCTATGATGGCATGTTTTTGTTCTTTAGGATGGTTTAAAACGGTGCAGTCGTGGCAGATTGGTGTTTTGCATTTGGCGCAGAAGAAATACAAATGTGATTCATGCTGTAAACATGTATCCTTAATCTTATTAGAAATCAAACCTATCATCTTCATAATTCTGAGATCAGCAGGAAGGGCATCAATGTCTCCTTCTATTGTCTGAGTCTTAAGACAGACCGGACAGGTGAGTTTGTGATCAGGGTCTACAGTTTGTTTCAGGCATGGCCGGCAGAACGAGTGTAGGCATGACAACTTAATGGGCACTTGATCCACTCTGTCAAACTGTCCATTGCATTTAACACAGCAGATGAGCTCGTTGTTGTTGACCTGGGCCATTTGACCACTCAGTGACGTCAACGCTGTAATTTAATTGTTAATCCCTCTTTTAAAATGGGAAAAAATTAGAGAACAAAAATTATAATTGATACATGTCACAGCTACAGTTCTAACAATTTATATCTTTAAAAAAAAAAAAAACAACTAGAAACTATCATGAATGAATGTGAATTAGCGGTTCTCACGCCAGTTTCAACCATAACTGCAATCTTACACTGATAATGGAGTCTATATTTTCATGACTCACGTCAACCGTTGTATGGTGTGATTCCGACCATGTCTATGGGGCAATCCATATAGTATGCCGTACAAAACAACGGGTATATAAACACCCCCAAATGCGTACGTACAGTGAGCTTTTGACACCCCAACCCTCCACAGAGAGCTTTTGACACCCCAACCCTCCACAGAGAGCTTTTGACACCCCAACCCTCCACAGAGAGCTTTTGACACCCCAACCCTCCACAGAGAGCTTTTGACACCCCAACCCTCCACAGAGAGCTTTTGACACCCCAACCCTCCACAGAGAGCTTTTGACACCCCAACCCTCCACAGAGAGCTTTTGACACCCCAACCCTCCACCCAAAGAAAAAACAATCCATTTATTTAGACACCCTCATGACGTCGCAGTAAAAAAATGTGGCAAAAGTTTTCACCGCTGTATGGCGCGCCTGATGGTTCCACGCACACATACACATACACACGCACACACTTTCCACTTACACACACTTTCCACTAACACACACACTTTCCACTTACACACACACTTACACTTTCACACACATTTACACTTACACTTTCACACACATTTACACTTACACTTACACACACACTTACAAACACACTTACACACACACTTACACTTACACACACATTTTCACTTACACTTACACACCCACTTACACTTACATACACACACACAAACTTACACTTACACACTTACACTTACACACACACTTACACACACTTACACTTACACACACACACACACACTTACACACACTTACACTTACACTTCACCTAAACGTGGTCGTTGTTTATGTTGGCGTAAAAGACGTATTGTCGACTAAATTATACTACCAGAGGTTATATCTAGGAGGTTACTGTTGCTACCGTACTACCAGAGTGATATCTAGCATGTTACTGTTGCTAACGTACTTACAGGGTGATATCTAGCACGTTACTGTTGCTACCGTACTACCAGAGTGAATTCTAGCATGTTACTGTTGCTACCTTACTACCAGATCGATATCTAGCGTGTTAACTTGTGAAAGGCAAAACAACGGTGTGATGTGAATATCCAAACATTGCGTGCTATGTTTACAGCATTAGAGATCTAAATAGGCTGTCAGAATCTCAGGATCATCTTTACAGAATTAGAGATCTAAATAGGCTGTCAGAATCTGAGGATCATCTTTACAGTATTAGAGATCTAAATAGGCTGTCAGAATCTGAGGATCATCTTTACAGAATTAGAGATCTAAATAGGCTGTCAGAATCTGAGGATCATCTTTACAGTATTAGAGATCTAAATAGGCTGTCAGAATCTCAGGATCATCTTTACAGAATTAGAGATCTAAATAGGCTGTCAGAATCTGAGGATCATCTTTACAGAATTAGAGATCTAAATAGGCTGTCAGAATCTGAGGATCATCTTTACAGTATTAGAGATCTAAATAGGCTGTCAGAATCTGAGGATCATCTTTACAGAATTAGAGATCTAAATAGGCTGTCAGAATCTGAGGATCATCTTTACAGAATTAGAGATCTAAATAGGCTGTCAGAATCTGAGGATCATCTTTACAGTATTAGAGATCTAAATAGGCTGTCAGAATCTCAGGATCATCTTTACAGAATTAGAGATCTAAATAGGCTGTCAGAATCTCAGGATCATCTTTACAGTATTAGAGATCTAAATAGGCTGTCAGAATCTGAGGATCATCTTTACAGAATTAGAGATCTAAATAGGCTGTCAGAATCTGAGGATCATCTTTACAGAATTAGAGATCTAAATAGGCTGTCAGAATCTGAGGATCATCTTTACAGTATTAGAGATCTAAATAGGCTGTCAGAATCTCAGGATCATCTTTACAGAATTAGAGATCTAAATAGGCTGTCAGAATCTCAGGATCATCTTTACAGAATTAGAGATCTAAATAGGCTGTCAGAATCTGAGGATCATCTTTACAGTATTAGAGATCTAAATAGGCTGTCAGAATCTGAGGATCATCTTTACAGAATTAGAGATCTAAATAGGCTGTCAGAATCTGAGGATCATCTTTACAGTATTAGAGATCTAAATAGGCTGTCAGAATCTCAGGATCATCTTTACAGTATTAGAGATCTAAATAGGCTGTCAGAATCTGAGGATCATCTTTACAGAATTAGAGATCTAAATAGGCTGTCAGAATCTGAGGATCATCTTTACAGAATTAGAGATCTAAATAGGCTGTCAGAATCTGAGGATCATCTTTACAGAATTAGAGATCTAAATAGGCTGTCAGAATCTGAGGATCATCTTTACAGAATTAGAGATCTAAATAGGCTGTCAGAATCTGAGGATCATCTTTACAGAATTAGAGATCTAAATAGGCTGTCAGAATCTGAGGATCATCTTTACAGAATTAGAGATCTAAATAGGCTGTCAGAATCTGAGGATCATCTTTACAGAATTAGAGATCTAAATAGGCTGTCAGAATCTGAGGATCATCTTTACAGAATTAGAGATCTAAATAGGCTGTCAGAATCTGAGGATCATCTTTACAGAATTAGAGATCTAAATAGGCTGTCAGAATCTGAGGATCATCTTTACAGAATTAGAGATCTAAATAGGCTGTCAGAATCTGAGGATCATCTTTACAGAATTAGAGATCTAAATAGGCTGTCAGAATCTGAGGATCATCTTTACAGAATTAGAGATCTAAATAGGCTGTCAGAATCTGAGGATCATCTTTACAGAATTAGAGATCTAAATAGGCTGTCAGAATCTGAGGATCATCTTTACAGAATTAGAGATCTAAATAGGCTGTCAGAATCTGAGGATCATCTTTACAGAATTAGAGATCTAAATAGGCTGTCAGAATCTCAGGATCATCTTTACAGAATTAGAGATCTAAATAGGCTGTCAGAATCTCAGGATCATCTTTACAGAATTAGAGATCTAAATAGGCTGTCAGAATCTCAGGATCATCTCTACAGCATTAGAGATCTAAATAGGCTGTCAGAATCTCAGGATCATCTTTACAGCATTAGAGATCTAAATAGGCTGTCAGAATCTCAGGATCATCTTTACAGCATTAGAGATCTAAATAGGCTGTCAGAATCTCAGGATCATCTTTACAGTATTAATCCGTTGTTTTTTTTTAAAATTAAGTGTAAGTTCTTTCTGCCAAGACTCAAAACCCAACCCCCTCCCGTACGCAAAATCTCCAAAATCGACCCTTCCCCCCTTTATTTATGGCCACCCTCAGTGCGTACATGCTATATAAACTCAGTGACGTCAACGCTGTCTTTTATTTGTTAACCTCAGTTTTAAAAGGGGAAAAGTTAAAAAAAATAATAGATCCATGTCACAGCTCCAGGTTTAACAATTTATAGCATTTAAAAAAAAACAACTAGAACTTATCATAAATGTAAGATAACGGTTCTCACACCAGTTTGAGCCATATTTGGAAGCTTACACTGATGATGTAGTCTATACTTGAAAGATTCACGTCATTCGAAGTGTCATATGATTACGACCATGTCTATGTGGCAAAGCATATAGCAATACGGGAAAAAATCAAAATTTCGACCCTCCCTCCCCATTGCACGCGTATCTTTAGACCCCCCCCCCCCCCGTGCATACGTAAAATGAGCTTTCGACACCCGGCCCCAAAACACAACAAAATTCCGTTTATTTACACACACTTATGACGTCGCAGTAAAAAAAATGTGTCAAAAGTTTTCGTTTTCTATATATTAATTTCCCACGATCAATGTATTGATCATTCAGGCTCCTATGCATGTAGAGGGGATTTGCAATGTTTCTGTGCCTGGTGTTGATGAGCGTAGTTCACTGGTTGCAAAGGCCACTTAGTGATGGTATCATGCACTGGGTGCTGGAAGGCCTGGGGCAATAGAAACACAATTTTTTTATGGCTGTCGCCTCAGCTTTTGCTTTCGAAAGTTTGTTCCTATCCCTGATTGTCTTGGGCAGGAATGGGCAGTTCCTGTACTGGCTTCCTGTTTATGAGCCGGAACTGCCTGTCATGGCTTCGTCGCTGTTTATTGCTGTTTGGCCTGCCCAGGGGTTCTAAAAATATGCGTTACGTCACCCAGGAATGCCGCGTTACCCTAGCCCACGCTTTATCATAAACTCACATACACACACATACACACACACACACACTCCACGTAAACGTGTGGCGTTGGTTATGAGGGCGTAAAGGGCGAATTGTCGACTAAATGTTACTGTTGCTACCTTACTACCAGTATGATTTCTAGCATCTTACTATTGCTATCGTTATACCCGTTTGATAAGATAAGATAATATAAGATATTTTTATTGATCCAAATAAATGGGAATTTGTTGTTTTACATTCATCGTACATATTTCCCTCAGCCCTTGAAATGTTACTACTGCTACCTTACTACCATTGTGATATCTAGATTGTTACTATACCTACCTTACTACCAATGAGATATCTAGGTTGTTACTATTCCTACCTTACTACCATTATGATATCTAGATTGTTACTATACCTACCTTACTACCAATGTGATATCTAGCATGTTACTAATGCTAACTTACTATCTATTGTGTTACTATTGCTACCGTACCACCATTGTGACATTTAGCATGTTACTATTTTTACCCTACTACCAGTGTGACATCTAGCATGTTACTAATGCTACCTTACTACCAGTGGGATATCCAGCATATTACTAATGCTACCTAACTACCAGTGTGATATCAAGCATCTTAGTAATGCTACCTTACTATCAGTGTGACATCTAGC